TGAAATGATTTCCATCATCCTTGAAAACTTTTGGGATAATGATCACCTTAGTATGGGAAAGAGGAACATTTATTTCCAATAAGCAACAGTAACAATTCTACTCAAATTACACTGCCAATCAGTCTAACAATCATAGACATCACAATAATCGTTTCATAGTGATTCAAAAGAAATTCAATAACTACATAATCTCCCTCTCCATAACCTCCTGGACTCGATTTTTCCAAAACATCTAATAAAAAAATGTCAATAGTACCAGTAATGATATCACCCGGCCCCCCCCCCCACTCGAGTGTTATTTAGGGTACGCATATGCGTGTTCCAATTAAGCACCCCCCCCCCCCCCTTTTCAGCAAAAGTCTGGTGTGTAGAGTCAATACGGGTAGACTATTTTCTTTTGTTACGAGCGGAGAGTTTGGGAACATGCATGGTATCCCTTCGTTCCCGGAGTGGGGGGGGGGGGGGGGGGGGGGGCAGGCAGGCGCATACGCAGGATTTTTTCAAGGGGGGTTTTTAACATTTATAAATCGGGCCGAAAATTTCGCAACGACTCAGCCAGCCGCTGAATAAGCGGGGGGGGGGGGGGGGGGGGGGGGGGGGGGTAAGAGGTCACATTTTTTTTTTGGGGTCTCGAAATTTGAAAAATTGACATTTTGCTCCGTTGGGGGGGGGGGGGGTAAGGTCAGCTTTTTTAGGTCAACCATGGGAATTTTTTTTTTTTTAATTAAAAAAAAAAAAAAAAAAAATCCAAAAGGGGGGGGGGGGTTTTTAGGGAAATTTAGGGGGGGTTTACACACAAAAAATTACCAAAGGGGGGGGGGTTTAACCCCCAAACCCCCCCCCCCCCTGTGTACGTGCCTGGGGGCAGGTAATATCATTGAGAGATAGACATATTAACCAATTATATCAAGGGAGGACTGGAGGGGGGGGGGGGTAATGACTAAGTACAAAGGAGACAAAATGGGAGTGGTGGTGCTACGATCAGTCAAATACATGTTCAGACAACCACACTGAAATATATCCGCCCTTGTGAGGCAATAGTCTCATTGTCTTTGACTACATATAAATCATTCACATTAATCATAAACGTGTTTGTTAATATAGCACACTTTGCATACATTCAAATTGATAACATTATCTAAACTGACATTTGGCTTCATGTGGAAGTACTGTTATCAAGGCAAATATTTGCCTATCATTGTGTGATTTAGGCAATATTAAACATATCTACTATAGAGTTTATTCACATTTGAATTCTGAAGTGATTGAAGATGACAAGTCTTTGTAAATCCCCTCATAACTTTAGAAGAGCTTTCATATATGATCTGCTGAGAGCCAGAAGGGCGTTAATACAAATACTATGACACATTGTCACATCCTTCTGCCTCTCAATTAATCTATTATAAGGACTTGCTACCGGTATACTCACAATTCTACTCTTCAGTGCACATAACTTTACTTTATAGGTAGGTCTCTGAACCTCATTAGACACATTCAAAAACCCAGCCCAAGTCAATTTCAATAGCCTTGTTCATCAACCGTTGAAATGTACAAAAACATTTACGACTGTTTTGTTTGATTTCTAGGGGATGAAAAGAATGCGGTTGAAATTGCTCTCAATATGATTTCTGGAATGGTATTGCAACAATTACAAATGCAACAGATCACACAATCTGCTGAGATCAGTTTAAAATCATTACTCATTTTGATATTCTCTTTCTGCATCTATGTATTCATTGCAAACCAAGTTTAACCCAATTTCTAATAATAACCAGTCTGTAAATAACATCAAGACTATTTGATATAATAAAAAAATAAACACCAATATCAATTCATACACTTCATTTTCAATATTTCCTGATGCAGGTTAAAAGTATAACCCACTCTTCTTATCAATTATTTAACGGTTATTCAATACAGAGCAATCAGGAATATCTCCCGGTCAATATTAGCAGGTCAAATCTAGTTTTAAGATTCACAATCAATTATTCATTGCGTGTTAGAGATAATGTTATCTCCAAGACAACACTTGAAGATAGATGCGATTATGTTTTGATGGTACTTGAAGTTGGGTATTTAGGTCCTAATTGAGAGAAATTTATCTTGGGTACTTCCATTTGTTGGCTCCTGCATGTCTACTGAGCTTTGCTTCAAACCAATAAGCAACGGCAGGCTTATCTTTGTCGCTATATGTACACAAATTAGGACGGTTATTGCCTGCCATAATGCTACTGTTTACAATAACGCAAAATAAAGTATTGCATCTACCAGTATGCTTCTGAATGAATGTTCGCTTACTAGCTCTCCATACATTACGATGATAGTGATAGTAATCTACGTGTACTCACATACATGTAAATCTACCAGAATTTTCCACAGCCATCTATAAAATGTACATGACATGCTCATAATCTTATTGCATTATGACAAGGACAGATAGAGAGGAAATGACGGAGTGGTATATAGAAAGAGAGAAAGGGGAAGAGTAAGGGGGAGGAGGGAAAGAGAGAAAGAATGAGAGAGAGAGAGACAGAGAGAGAGAGAGAGAGAGAGAGAAATAGAGAGGGAGTGGCAGAGAAGAAAGAAGTGGGAGGGGAAGAGAGAGAGAGAGAGAGAGAGAGAGAGAGAGAGGATGGGAGAGATGAAAGAGGTGGGAGGGGGAAGAGAGAGAGAGCAAGAGAGGGGGGGGGGTACAGTTACAAAGATATCACAAATATAGGAGGGACAGAATATAAGTTGAGAGAGGATAAGAGGGGGGGGTGGAGTGGAAACAAGAGAATAATCAGGGACAGAAAGCAATTTCAAGAAAAAGAACACTGAGACAGACAAGGATACACAGAAAGTAGCCAAAAAGAGGAAAAGATTCAACAAATATGTTTTTAAAATTATTCACCTCCCACATGGTATCAGAACCCTGTGTTTGCACTGATAATGATTTTATTTGCAAGCCACTTGACTCCGGGATAACAAGTATGGGTTCAAATCACTTCATAATACAAAATCTAAATAGTTCCAAACCTTCCAAGACCGTTGAATCATTTGAACTTATCAACTTGTTATCACTTTTTGAAAAGTATTTCTAGAATTCTGTATTTGAATAAAATTGTAATGAAAATTGATGAGATTTATGTGTACGAGCTGGAAAGATGAGCTCACATTTTGACAAAGAAACTATTAGAGTGTAAAAAATGTTGCCATTTAATTTTGATCACTGATTAGGACATAATACATGGTACAAATTGAACATAAAAACTATCATTTCTTTTGTCATCTATATAAAACTGTATGCAGCCTCTACAATAGTAGCAATCATACACACAAAGAAACAAGTACAATACAGATGGGCCAATGTGAAACATCCCTCATGATGGCTGTATCATAATATTTTGGCATCTCTTGAAAACTTTAGTAATAATTCAGTTTGGTTTCAATCACTTTCAATAATAATTAAGGTGCCTATTACAAGGTTTAAAGAGAAGGTTGAGTTCTGGAAAGAGGTGAAAAATGAATTGTGAGCGTTATCATTGTATTATGCCAGTGTATATTTTAAATATGGCATGTAACATAAAAATCATGTGTTTGTGTAGTCCCATATACATCTTTCTGTGTACAGTACTAGAGTGCTTGTAACTTTACCAAGACTGGGCCAAACATCTTATCATTTTGATGATTCCAGAACCTAGTTGCAGTACACACCAATACTGATAGATTCCACAACGTTTCTTTCACAATGCAATCGCATGACCAGAAATCAACTTTATCTTTAAGTATTACCATAAAGACTAGACTGATTCAACGTAAAGTTAGAAACTAAGTAGAACCTTTGAGCTATTGCAAGAAACCTCAAACATGTTGCATACTATAAGGCTAATAAATATATGTGAGTTCATACAGTTAACACCTAAACTATACGTACCCTTACCAAATTTTGTACTTTTTTAAGTGAAAATTTGATTTGTCTTGGTTCATTTTGCAATAGAGTCAGTGTGACATATATCAATCAAAGCTTACATCTAAAAGTATTCAACAAATGTCATAATTCAACCAATCCACCTTTCATTCTTGCGTTACAAAAAAACACCCCCAAAGAATAGAATTTACAAGGGGTATGAATAATTCAGATGTTAACTGTATAGGTTTAAAGATGAAGTTGAGTTCTGGTCATGCGACTGCATTGTGAAAGAAACGTTGTGGAACCGACCAGAAAAGGTTGATCATCTAGCATGATAAGAATTTGTGTGTATTGCAAGGTTCTGGAATCATCAAAATGATAAGAAATGTGGCCAAGTCTTGGTAAAGTTACAAACACTTGCACAGAAAGATGTATATGGGACTACACGAACACGTGGCGTAAAAAGCCAGCCCCCGATTTTTACGATGTTACATGCATATTTAGAATATGAAGGCATTTGAAGAGCCAAGCTTTACAGGGAACATGTCTTAACTGATGTTCTTCCACACTTGCATAATAAGAATGAGTAATGCTCACAAATTATTTTTCACCTCTTCCCAGAACTCAACCTTCTCTTCAAAGACCATGATACTTATGTGTAGTTCAATGAACTAGTTCTCTTCATTGATATGTAGAGTGAGAATATTAACTCCTTATCCAAGAATGAAAGTTAAATCAACTTCAAGACATAATATTTACATTTCAATTTCAAACCCAAGGCTTGATATCAAACGAAATGATGCCTTCTATTTCTCAAATTGAATAGCATTTCAAAAGTGTGTTTTATACTGGTATACTGGTAGAGTGCAACCCCCCTCCCCCCGCCCCCCCCCAAAAAAAAAAAATAGTTTGCGATAAGGAAGAGTAATTTTTCTTATGACCCAACATCTCCTTATGTTATGCACTGGGCAGCCTGGGGTAGGCTGCATAGCCCTTTGAAGATTACTAGAATAGAAAGAAGATAAATAACTTTAGAGAGAAAAAAAAACACCAGGATATAAAGTACTACCTGCATCATAACACATGTGCTGAGACATGACAGTTTATATCCTTTAGCTCTCAGCAGACGATACTATGAAAACACATTTCAAAAAAAGCTTGTCAGTTTATCTCGTTTATCACAATCAGAACAACACTTGTATATCACCGTATGATATCACAAGAGGGTCAACGACAACAAATAAGTTTATCTGTTCATTATTTCACCATCATAATCTCAGACTATTGCATATCACCATCAACAATACATCGTCATCTGACCTACATGTAACTACATGTTGATACAGCTTCTGTATTTCGTCCATTCGGAAGCAGAAGGACGCTGTAATTTTACACCGCAGTAGTGCTCTTCTGGCTTCAAACATAAGATTTGTATTAGACTCTCATTGATTGCAGATTTATAACTAGTTTAAATGGGAAATAAAGTCATTATTTACTTTAAAAAATAAACAAATCTTATAAGATTAAGTCACAATTCATCGTAATGAAAAAAGTACTGTTTTTTAATACAAAAAAATATATAATTTCTAGATTTAAAAACATATTACTCACAATCATCAATTCTTAATATCATATAGAGTTCAAATTTGATTTTGACCAGGAATAAAATAGATTTTTTCTCTCAACCATAAATTTGTTGGATAGGTCAGTTTGGTTAAAATAGCATAGAGCATTGAGTCAAACGAGTTGATGAATGATGATCACATGAGATAATGAATGATATTATTACAAAAAAAGTAATAATAATCATCAGTTCATATCAGAAAAGATGATATAAAGTGGTATCAGCCATTCTAAGTTTTGCTTGCAAATGTGAATAACACTTGGTTAAATTTGTTACAAAACAAATATAATTACATAGTAAGGGGTGAATGGTGAACTTGTTTTGGTCCATAATTCAGACAGGTCCAAGTCTCAATGATAGTCCCACTTGCATCTAAATGAAGATCTACAGTCCGTTCTGGTCCATGATGATGTGGACTAGGACTGAAATATGGTCCAGTTGGCATACAGGTATATGAAGCTTGCTTTGCTCCATCATCAGACAGGTCCTGGTCTACATGTTGGAGCCCCTTGCCTCAAAATGGTGATGCAAACTCTGTTCTGGTCCATCATGATGATGACAATTTGGAATATGGTCCAGTTGACATATACCATCACTTCAGATGTTTGTCACCATATTGAAATAGACTAGGACAAGACCTCTTCATACAGGTCCAAAACGCTATAGTTGTCACATACACAAGACCCATGCAAACATCTGATACTGCAGAAGCGTTGAGTTGTCATGTAGGTAGATGACCCTTCAGAGTACTATCAGGTAGACCAAGTTCAGTAGTTCAGTTTGTAAGCTCCTAAAGCTGATCAATAGAGTCCAAATATCTCCTTAATGAGTGGCGGAGGACCTGAATATGACGGATCATCCATCAGCATGAGTTGCTGGACCTGTTTGATATGGTCCAGGACCAGTTGTCTGAGGTCTACCAGAAGGGATAGGAGTCTTGGAAGAAGCATACGATGATTACTGTGATTGGTTCTTAGTTCTATCTGAATAGCTTCTAAGACCTGTTCCTGGAACTTCTCCACTTCATCACGTTCTATTAATTCATCTCGGTCTGAAAAGGCAAAGAAAGAGTACAAGTAGGAAAGAGAGAAAAATGAACAAGTGATTTCTAAATGAGTTTCCATTTGATCTTCTCCCTTAACCAGCTGATTACAGAAGTGCAACAGCCTGAAAGCAAAACCTTGGCAACAATGGTTATACTCCGTAGTAAAAAACAATCACCAATTAGAACTTTAATTCCCTAGATTTAGTTTCATACAATACCCTTTAACGAAAGTGCCCTCCAGTCTTAAGCTACCCACTTCAGTTACCACGTTATATTGACCAAAGTATTTAAAGAGAATAAAACAGGAGTTTAATTCAGTTTGACTGTCATATGACTAGGTTGGGGTTTATTAAATCCCCACTGCAATACTTATAGCTACTTGCACCCTCTATATAGAAAACAATATTTCGCAGTCAGACCTATGTTCATTTTGTAATAGCTCTGTGGAATCTATAGAACATTTATTTTGGGATTGCCCAATCATTAGAAGTTTTATTGCGGATGTCCAACATTTCATTTTAGAGGATAAAGTTACTTTGAATAAAATTAATTTCATATTTGGGTTTTATGGAAACGTTGGAGTTCAATTTAATTTTGTTATTTTAGATCTATATGCCAAATGCTATATATTTCCAACAAATGCAAAAATAACGTACTCTCACTAAATTCTTTTAAATACATGTTAGGGTATTATCGTTCTCTTGAACAATACATTTACGTTAAAAATAACACATTTGTATCATTTGATAATAGGTGGAAAAACATTGTGTTGCTTTAAAAAAAAAAAAATGATCTTGTATAATCAGATATATTCTTGTTGTTGATTCTATTGGTTATATTATTTATGTATATTCATATATGTTTTGTTATGTTTTGTAAAGTCGAAAGAATAAAGATGATTTTTTTTTTTTTTAATAAATTTAAATAAAAAAAAATAAAAAAATGACTAATCGGTGCATGATGGTCCCCCATGATCCCCTTTTTCTTATGTTAAGCTGATTTGATGATATAACCACCTGTCAGTGACCTTGCAGGGAGGTCTAATCCCCTCTGACCGAACTAGTACAGACAGGCTTTAAGGGCAAATGCTGATATGACCAACGTGTGTATGCCCCTTTTGATATACAACCATCCTTCATACCAACTGGTCAGAGCTAGAAGGGTGTTAACTCTGTCTTAACGTATATGATTTAATGCCATTGTGGCACCAAACAGAACACATATAATGATACCGAGAAAATCTGTCTTTCCTCTCATTTGAATGCCCAGTGACTTACCGGGTGATGTTAACGACAGAACACAAAACAGTGCCAATTCTCTCTCCGTTAGATTAAGCTTGAATGCCCAGTGACTTACCGGGTGATGTTAACGACAGAACACAAAACAGTGCCAATTCTCTCTCCGTCAGATTAAGCTTCTTCATCTTCTCAAAGAATTTGAACTTCCCGTCAAAGAAGGAGATTTCTAGTTGCTCCAGCATCTTCTTGGTGAAGTAAACCCCATCTGTAGGGAACCATAATCCCTCTGAAGCATACCTTGATGAGGTGGCAATCAATGCTACCTCAAATGCAGCATGTTTCAGCAGACACACCTACAAAGAACAAATCAAAATTGCAATTCTCATTTAAGCATTTAAAGATAAAAGTTGAGTTCTGGTCATGCGATTGCATCGTGAAAGAAACGGTGTGGAATCGACCAGAAAAGGTTGATCATCTAGCATATAAGAATTTTTGTGTATTGCAAGGTTCTGGAATCATTAAAATGATAAGAAATTTGGCCCAGTCTTGGTAAAGTTACACAGAAATACATATATGGGACTACACGAACATGTGGCGTAAAAATCTGTCCCGATTTCTATGCTGTTACATGCCATATTTAGAATATTAAGGCACTCAAAGAGCCATGCTTTTCAGGGAACATTTGATATCTAATGTTCTTCCACACTTGCAAAGTACAATGATAACGCTCACAAATTATTTTTCACCTCTTCCCAGAACACAACTTTTTCTTTAAGACATTTTCTCAATTTTTAAAAAATGTATGAAAAAATTTTGAATGACATTGTTACAGAATTTATTGCTTTCTTTCCTTGGAAAAGAATCTTATCATTAATGTGATAACATTGCTACATTATAATGACCTTCTTTTCACATCATTTAGCAATAATATATATGGGTTCACTCACAAAAAATAGGTTCTTTCATGTGTATATTTGTTATTTCCTCCATGTGTTATATCTATAAAGTTCAATCTAAACTGTATAACGAATATCTGTTATACATGTTCAGTAAGTGCAAGCTATTACTTTCTGAGAAATGGATTGAAATCAATCTTCAACTTCACCAAAGCAAAGTTCCACTTTCATATCTCTACCGCAAGAGAGCCTAGCACTGTAACAAGAGAATATAGTAGGTCTACATGCACACACATATTGGGTTCATTACTGTGAAGATGCCCCTGATTACGAGAGATTCATTTCCTTCTTCAGTAATCATTATTATACACGTATACTGTAGCACCTAGAGATACAATAGATGTATAAGGCACTATATAGATAAACAGACAATTAAAGGGGAACCGAGCAAGGAGAGGAAGGTCCTTTAAAGCCCATCTGTACTAATGTGCAGGAGGGATTAGACCACCCTGCAAGATCACATGACAGGTGGTTATCTCATCAAATCAGCTCTCAATTAACATAAGAAAAAGAGGATCATGGGGTACCAGTGGTCACCGATTAGGCATTGTTTGCTCTCTAGAGGGCGCAAGTAGCTAAAAGTAGTGCAGTCCCGCTTTAACTAAAATATCATTTCAAATGAGGAAATGCATTCACGGAAGATTGAGTAAATAATAGTTTGAAACAGTGGAAAGTCTTTAACTTGTCTAGATTCATTCATTCATCATCACTTCAAAGCTACTGCCATGCATCAAGCAATTTAAAACTCATCTATAGGATGGATAGGTAATAAAACAGTTAAGTTATAAAACACTAATTAATCTCATTATCTCATTAATCATTATCTCATTATCGCACACTGACATGAATGAGTATTTATACAACTCTGAAGTACGAGAATGAGAATTTATGAGGGTAAGATAAGGATTGGGCACATTGATCACATTTTGGGTCTTAAAAGAATAACTTAAAGGTAATACAAAAACTTTTGGAATGGAGTCATGAATTTGGTTCAAATGAGCATATTAGAAGCATATGCGATCCTACATTATTCAGTGATCGTTGTCGCGGTTGAAATCAACTCTAAAGTTATGAAATTGTTAATGATAAACTCTTTATGTTGTATAGCTCCCTCTCAAGGTCAAGATATTCATTAAGCTATAAAACAATGTTTCTGGACTAAAATCAACCGATTAGCTATTTTTTCTTTTGGAAATTATATATCAGAACTACATATTCTGAGATTTTCATGATCGCAGCTACCATTATACAGCCATAGGCGCTATTTGAAATTTTTCAAAATTTACCAGGAGCACCGGTAAATTTTAGGGGCTAAATTTTCTTGTGCTTATAATACATTCACAGGAGCATCCAAATATATCAAAATTATAAAGAATCACTATCCAACCAATTTTCAAAATTTCGCAAAACTTTGTATTACCTTTAAATAGTGTAATTCAACAAGTTTTTTTATTTTCTTAGACAAAATGTAAGTGCTTGAATTGTGTAAAATTCAACTGAAACTGCTTGAAAAACCTAACATCAGATTTAGGGATCACAACTTACTATTGCTTATCACATACTTAAAAATAAATGGATTGTTCAATACTCTTACGGTATATGGTAAATAGTTCCTTTAACACTGCTCTATGTACTGCACAACTTGACTTCACTTTCTCAAGTTTCTCTTTTTCTTAGATATACTTCCTTGATAGGATAATGACACGTTGAGAACAGAAACCTCATCTTATGCTCATATTGACATTACACATTTCAGGTTTTGAATTGTGAAGAAAAAATAATACTTGAGGGAAACCACACCCAAGCTTGAAACCAATTACAAACGAGTGATATAGCAGCTCTGAAAGGTCAAATGGATATCTTGACCAAAATTCAGCAAAAATGCAAATATAGCATTTGCATAGATTCAGAAACATGCGTGTTTTCACAAGAGAGATGAAAAGATTTACATGTAGCATGGGTATATAAATTTTGAAGAACAACTGTGATTATTCATATGCGGTGGTCAATGGCAGTAATGGAATATATGTATAAGTTCTCCAGTTGCATTTAATACGCCCGTCATTACACACTCTCGAATCTGAAATGTGAGATTGTTATTTTTACAGTTTTCTAAATAAATGTACCTATGAAGAAAAAAAAGGATATTCATTCCGAACTATCAAGTTCTAATCGTTGAGATTGAAAGAGTTTCAACACTGTGTAATCTTTAAATCTGTGATGTGATGTCATGGATGAAAAGAATCTAACTATAGAGAGTTATATTATTGATGAACGGCGATTGTTTTATCAGTACAATGCATCTCTATCAATCGGTTGTCTGACTGAGTTTGGATTCTTTCCTGTGTTTGTTTACCACAGCCATCTGTTTTCCTCTATTGTGTTCCTTCCTTTAAATCAATTCCACTACAGGGTGCCTCAAAACTAGATCATTGCCTGGTTCAGTATGGCCTCTGGGGGGTGTTTCATAAAGCTTTTCGTAAAGTTACGAATGACTTTACGAACGACTTATATATGAAAAGCCAAATGGGATGCTCAATCATTATTAAATATATCAACTAAAGTTTAACTGTGCAGATGTAGATTAACATTCTCATTATAACAAACATTATTAATACAAAGTATATTTTTTGCCATAATTTAATTGAGGTTATTGGAAATATAGTCACACTTTGTTAAAACATCAGGAAAAACTTTGGGCTTCCTATCTGGCACTTCATATACAAGTTGTTTGTAAAGTCATGCGTAACTTTAAGAACAGCTTTATGAAACACCCCCCTGGTAATGTCTGTAATTACTCCCTTCATCATTGTAACTTCTCCTTGTGATGTAGAGCACTTTGCAATAATATTCTCTTCTTAAATAAAGACTTGATTCAAGTTAGGTAGTAAACCATTCCATGAAGCTTGGGGTGTCACAATGAAATGAATGTGAAGCATGTGCGTAGTAATATAGACCAGTGTGCATATAGACCAGGGGGTGTTTCACAAAGATATTAAAGGACAAGTCTACTCGAAAAATAACTTACTTTCAATAACAGCAGAAAAATCAGACAACCAATCAAAAAAAGTTTGAGCAAAATCGGATAACTAATAAGAAAGTTATGAATTTTTGAAAAAGTATGTAAAACTATGGAACAATGAGAATCGCAACACAAATCGCCAAAATGGTTATCAGTTTGTGACGTCATGTCCTCACAACTTATCGATTGCTTTACATAGTTTAATCCCATTCATTTCCCTTTTTATCCTCCAAAATTTGATTTCCCCATGTCTTTGCCCAGGTTATATGATTTGTATCATATTGCGTGCATGACATTTCACAAATACTTTTATGAATTTTGAAGAATTGATACTATTTTCTGAATATTGTATTTCATAATTATTGATTTTTATATAAATAGTTTATCAAAATTCAATTTGTTCATGATTTAACTGGACAAAAATTACTCTTTATTTGTAAATCCACACAAAAACATATTACTAACAATCTAACTTGGATGTTGGTGTGAAGAAATAAGATTCTTATGGTGAAAATCGGAAATATATATTATCAATATACAGAAAATAATTAATGGATAGTGAGGACTATACGTCACAGACTCATGAGTGAGTTTCCAATTTGTGTAATGATTTTCAATGTTTTTCATGTCATTAAAAATTCATAACTTTCTTATTCGTTATCCGATTTTGCCCAAACTTTTTTTGATTGGTTTGTCTGATTTTTCTGGTTCTATTGAAAGTAAGTTATTTTTGGAGTGGACTTGGGCTTTAAGTCGAACTTAACTCTAAGTTGGACTTAAATTTTATGGAGAGCCGTTTGTAGCCTTAAAATGAAATATGTTCAAATACAAAATTGAGGTATTTTAGACTTTTCTTTAATTACATATCAAGAACATGATAAAAGAAATATGAATTATTTGAATTAACATTTTATGCATAACTTTCACAAAATATTTTCAAAGATGCTAACAGCTTTCCATAATTTTTAAGTCCAACTTAGAGATAAGTACAACTTAGGACCTTTGTGAAACACCCCCCAGAATGTACATCCACAACAGTTTAGATTTCATATTTTGAAGGAAGCAGCGCAATATGGTAGCAGGCCTTATAAGAAAACAGCTTCTAAACAAAATGCAACAATGATAAATCTAAAAATCACAAAATTATTGATATTAAAGAGTTGCAAGGCTAACTACATTTAGATGGCCATTTCCAAAGCCCCGTTGCACAATGGTGCTTGAACTGAGATAACCTGATTCAACATATATTTTTTGCTGGGACATGGTGTATAGCTGGTCCCAAACTGAACAGTTGTTCTATTCAGTACTTGAGGCTTCCGTGGGGGATGTAATTTATGAGCGGTATCAGTTTAGAGATCATTATCTAGCATAAATCAATCACGCCAAGACTTCCTTTCGTGCAGTCTTTCTGGTATCTCATATACCCAAGCCCTAAAACAAGAACTATCAATTTCATCATTAGATAAGAAAATGTGAAATTTATTAAATACAACAAATAAGGCATTTGTGTATATGTCATTTGTGTATCATGTTTTGTGGAAAGTGAATTTAAAAAGATATGACGGATGAAAATCAGTTAGGTGCCCCGCAAAGTGATGCGGGCAAAAAAAAAGATCCATCTACATACATGTACTTGGAGGGAGATGTGATCAAAGTATAAAGAATACCCATCATTGTTAACATTTTAGACACTGTGCAGTCTGAAGTAAGTTTGAAGATGTAGTCAAATAAAGGTTACAACTAAATTGAAACCTGCTTTAGTGACCACTAGTATAGGAATATCACCTGCCTATAAAGATCACATTTCATGTTTCCCTTGAGGGGGTCTTTATATACAGGTTTCACTGTATACACTATTTATGCATCTGTTTGCATCATAGTGCAAGGCATATGACAACTTGTTCAACTTAAAGAGATCGTTTAACAGTGTTATGAGTGTCTGTGATATAGTGTTATATTGACGCCCTAAAAGAATTGCTCTTCAAAATGATCAAGAAGTGCCTCAAAAAAGCAAAAAACTTTGAGTGACCGGTTTGAACATATTCATACCCGTGTTATGAAAACCGTTTGGCAAACCCAAATTTGATTTCGATTTTCAATCATAAATATCTTGATAATCAGACAGGCGATTGGCTTGTAAAAGTCATGGGGTTCCTGACCTAACGGTTTATAATTATCATTGCAGCATGAGCTAAATCAAGGATTTTTTTAAAGGATCTAAGACAAAGTTACCGGACCCCTTTAATGTCAATGAACTCTAAGCAGAAAGGGAATAAACAGACCAATAACGGATAAGCATGAAATAATGGTCACTTACCTGGTCATTTAAATCTAGATTCTTGAATTCTTGGAGCTTCTTGGCAAACTTTGCCAGGCTTTCTATGATAGCTAATAATGCTCCTCGACAGAATTTTGTGAGCGCTTCCTTCTCGGTGAGTTCCTTCATTGACTTGTGATCTTCCGTTTTACCCTGAAGAAGAAAAAAAGAACAAATAAATGGATTTCCCTAGATTAAATTAATTATCCCTGAAGAGAAAGATATGGAAGTTTTTAAATGACTCTGTTGCCATGCCTCTTGGTTTATGTACAGATTTCGATCATGTTTTATTTTGCTTGATGATAATTCTTTTGCATCGGAACATCAGGATCGTATTTCAGTACACGAACTGATGAGAAGCGAATTCAATTTAAGTGACTTTGTTAATACACAAATTCAATGTTTTTTTTAATTCAGTTTGAAACATCGAACCAAATTGGAAAATTTTGAGGATTTTAAAAGAAACTGTATTCAACGGTGAATTCTCATAATATTTTATGAATGAACGGCATTAACTCAGAATACCTCAATCACAAGCTTAATAGCAGGGGTAATAAAAAGTCGCATATTAATTAGGAAATTTTTATTTCATCCTTCTCATAATGACCAAGGCATGGAAAATGGTACCATGTTAAAAACCATATAACATTCTCAAAGAGAACAATCAACATCCTTTACTTTCTATACTATTCAGGATATCTTTTCGCCAGTCTTATTTCTTCATCAAAACAAAACCAGGATGCCCCTTGACATTAAAGACCGTTAATACTACTAGGCCAGAAGGGATTAGACCACCCAGCCAGGTCACTTACAGGTGGCGATCTCATCAACTCAGCTCTCAACTAACATAAGAAAAAGAGGATCATGGGGACCAACAGGTACCAATTGGGGAAGTTTTCTATATAGAGGGAGCAAGTAGCTACAAGTAGGACAGTAGGGCTTTAAGGAACAGGACATTACGTTAGGTTCCTTGCTACGGGTTGCTCTGGATCCTACAGGCATGGAGATGAACTGTCCCATCCACATGTTGATGTATATACTGTGTATCCTGTCTGTCAGCTCCCTGATCTCCGCCCGATGTTTCTCCTCCTCCGTGGCTTCCGTCTCCTCGTCCTTGAGCTCCTCCAGGAGCCGGAGACGCTCCTCCCGCGGCATGCGACCAAACCTGGAGGCTATTCATTTTAAAAAAGAAAGACAATAAACCGTCAGCTCTAGTGGCGACAGAGCCGCTCCTCCTGCGGCATGCGACCAAACCTGGAAGCTAAAAAAAAAAAGTCAACAAACCGTTAGCTCCAAATGAGCCAGAGCCGCTCCTACCATGGCAAGAGACCCCCAACAAAATTAAACATAAAAAACAACGGTAACATAAATAATGTACAAAGGAGCAAAAGTTATCCTCCGGTGGCACACAACCACACTGGGAGGCTACAAAATCAGAGACAATAAACTATTTGCTCTATATACACAGAAGCATCAAGGGCAGGAGCCTCTTCTCCCTGTCCAAGCAGAGATTAATTAACTAATTAATTAATAATTAGCTCTTGACATACATTTATCTCTAGTATTCTATCAATGAGCTTTGCATAAAACTCTAAAGATCATCTATCATACATTCTCCATCACATGTGTTTGGGCAGGTATCATTTATTTGATTAGAGCTTTAACAATAAGCATAACAATCAGTGTAACTATTGTTGGAGCCTTTCAATCCTTCATCAAGTTCAAAGAAAGTTTCTTTTATTGAAGCATAATACAAAATCCTTTTCCCATTGCATCTGAGGGAATGTAGGAAACGGTCAACCCCTAGAAACTATACACTGGTATAACTATCCCCTATGACAATATCCTTCAGGCAACTAGCCCCTACGACACCTAGCCCCCTAGTTGTATGAGGTAATGGGATAAGTTTGTAAAGAGGAAGTTGTCCAAGCACAATTGTCATGGGAGGCAGGTGTCCTAGGGTGTAGGTGTCCATAGGGCAGTTGTCTTGAGGATGACAATCCAGTGGGTCGTCATCCTGATTAATGTGTAGGGGACTTACCATCATGTGACATTCCAACCTGCATACATTTCTGGAACCGACAGTATTGGCATTTATTCCTTGTTGCTATGTTGATCTTGCATGGTTCTGTCTTGACGAAAGGACATGGTTTATAGACTAGCTTCATTCTGTGTGTTCTTCTGAAGAAACCCTGCACGAAGAGAAACAAAACATGTTTTTTATGAACTACTGCCTACTCAAAATAATTCATAGAGCCTGTATCGGTAACATATTCTAAATTGTGAAAAATATACCATTTTCGAAGAATGCCATAACTGCTTTGGTTCATTGTTCTGGGAAAGGGCTTAGTTTATTTGCCCCTCTTTGTTTTTCTATGTTCATTGATTAGACCAGATGGCAGTCAATTACAAAATTAATCTTTTGTAAAAGATCAATTTCATTTTTTTCTTCCAGGTTTCCTTGCTACCAATAACAATTTGAATTGATTTTGTACTGGTCATATCAGGAAAAAACATTATAATTGTACTTTCAACTGAAATATATATGAAGCCTGGCAATTTCTTGTTTAGTTTTAGTCTAATAAAGTTACTACCATTGTAGACAGTGAACATACAATGTACATTTAGGGGTTGTGAAAACAAGAGGGCTGAACAATTTGAAATTTCAGAATTTAATGAATTAAATGAAAACAAATGTAATGTTTTTTGTTAATGTAGACTTACTTTACATCCTTCACACGAATGTACACCATAATGAAACCCTGAAGCCTTGTCTCCGCATACTCTACATTTCATACTCAGCTCAACATAGTCAAGATACTTGTCACAACCTGGATATAGGAGAAAAGAAGAACGAGAGAAAAAGAACAAAGAATGAGAGAGAGGTAAATACACAGATGGACGGACAGTGAGATAAAAGGAACAGAGAGAGAGAGAGAGAGAGAGACAGCAAAAGGTAGAAAGAAATCGGAGCAAAAATTGTTATGATCATCTGGAAAACATGCAGAGTATCATCAAAATGTACATGCATAAATTACAGAATAAATCTTCATTCTGTTCTATATAGTCTGTGTTGGAACATATAGCAAAATGTAGCGCCACAAAAAGATGCTTCCGGAACGCAAAATGCATAATTGTTGAAAATCATGATTTTATCAGATAGAATAAGAACCATATAATTAGGGTCATGAGCTGGTAAATAAATGTAAATGTATTTCTCAACTAGGCTCGGCCTTATCATATGACTTTATATTTCAAAATAACTTTTAATTAACAAACATCCCATGCCTTTTGCTTTACAGACGTATCTTTTTGAGCACCTCATTTCGCTAAGGTACTTTACTCAACATTGTTGCCACAATCTACACAGACATAATAATTTTTGCTACAAGATCATGTTTATATGACAACAACTATGACCAAAAAATCGTAAGATAACTACTGTTACTGGATCCTTTGACTGTCAAAGAATTCAGTAACAATCAAAGTTTGACTGTTATACAAGTTACAATTCATGTACGGTACATATTACACGTCTCCTTAATGACGGTTATAATCCATTTTACAGCTCACGAAAAATGAATACCAGTATTGAAAGTTTAGTGTGGTTACCATACTGAGCAATAGGCATGCTTCTAGCTAACAGCATCTTACAAATCCCAGCAGACGAAAAGTAGAGCGGTGCACACTCAAGATTATATATGCAGCTATAAAGTGTACGATACAGCTTAAATCGTGTTTGTAGTCTGCCTAAAATGTGTACTTTGGAGTTTGAACTGCCGCCTTGCTCCAAAGTTTACCATCAAACAACATCGGCAAACATGTGCAATAAGGCATGGTGGGTTTTACATGAACAAATTAATCCTAGCAAATAGTATTCACATGATCCAAATCATTTTATCCCCTAACTTTATTACCCCATATTGTCTAACATTTCTATTCATTGCAACTCAATGCAAGATCATAATTGTAAATATTACATCAGACGTTCTTCTATTCTTTGACAGCAAAAGTGACAACAGACTATACTCAGCTTTTTTTTTCTCACTGATAAAATTAATTCAAACCTAATCTATTTTCTATTTGTCTTCTCAGAAATCATACCCCTTTCACATCACAGATAATATGCTGGCATAACTTTTTTCTTCAAGTCATGGTAAAACCAGGGAGGGGATACATGGGGGCTTGGGAAAATTAACCCCCGACTTAATGCAAAAAAAAAGCCCCTGAAAGTCATTAAAAAGCTGCCCAAAATGTGTTTAGAGTTCAATGCAAAACAAATTAAAGAGTGTAATTTTAATGCCAGCAAGCTTGAAAAGTAGCCCCCTCCCCCCCAATTTTGTAATATTTTTTCCTTAGGTAAAACCTAAATTTGATATCATTTTAAAAAGATTTATTTTTCTTCTCTCACTCTCTCTCTGCAGTGGGACATGACAAATTAGTACTGATTCAACATTAAAAACGATGGATTTTTTAAAAACAAATAGGCCAGAAAGAACAAGCCAGAAAAATAAACCTAACTACTAGGAATATATAGCCACCTAAATTTCATTTACAAGGCTTGCACACAATCCCATGGCCTGTGCCCTTTTTACAATATAGTCATGTTAAATGCAAGACCAGTAACATGCATAGCACAGCACGGTTAAATAATACAAACATCCGATTAAAAAGACATGTACAAGCTGAAGACATTACTATTGGTGACAGGACCATGATTGAGGCAAAGCATGTACAGGCACCGTTTCCTTTTGTGACTTCTGATGAACCAGTTCTTGAGGAACATTGAGATTATAGCCAAAAACATAACAGAATAATGCTCGATATGAAAGGAGTATTTGCTTGTTGGAGGTCTGAATAGGGTCATGGGGTTTTCCTTTCGTGTATGAAATGGGTTTTAAGTTCCTGGTATGAAAAGAGCAAAAGACCTTGCGATGTTTAATAGTGATGACTGGAGGTGCGACGACAGGGGCTTGCCTGATTGTGGGACTCTGATTGAGGATGTCAAAATACTGATTTGTTAAAGATAAAACCCCAAAAGGAATCTCATATTATTAATATTGGTATTGAGCAACAGATGTACTAAAATGGAAAGTAGGAACAGGGACATTGGTAACATGTCCCTGGTTGATACATGTTATGACACAAGTTATTGTCACTGTTTTTTCTTCTCCAATTTAATCTCCTTACTTCACCATCAAGCCTTGGCTTTTAGGGGCACCCTGACCATTTAAACTCTATAATTTTCATACATGCATGATTTGTATATTGATTTTTTTATTTTAAATGGTTTAATAAAACGAATTGAAAAAAATTGAATTAATTTTACCCTTAGGCTTGGAAGTAGGATCAAACACTGTGAAGAAAAATCTGCAGCAACGACACAATTATTTGAAATAAGAGTAAACACTAGAGAGCACGTGTTAAATGGGTCAAAAAACTTTGAAAAGAAATAAAGTAATTAACTTTGCTTCCAGGCTAAATGAAATTGTTTCTCCATTCTCAAAAGATAGTGAATCTCTGTCTGGTCTAATCCTGTCCAACAATAAAGTAACCGAGATACAGCTCTGGGAGCGAGAGAATGGTGGGGTATAATTCCTTTTTTGCCAGATTTTGACAGATGAACCTATTTTGTTAAACTGAAATGGGAGAAAAGTTTCTACCATCTGGTCTGAAATAAGGCTACGAGGTAACTGGAACATGTCAGAAGAGCGTCTTGGAGCCTCAAGTGAGGTTGAAGGGCTGCAATAATTTGCAAGTTTGGAAGATGATTTATAATCCCTGGGTATGCTGACCCGTTTACAGCAAGGGTGTCTAGACTTTAGCTACCGTTCTTCATCACAATAGTATGAAGTTTGTTGGATCGAAATTGAAGTGAAGATTAGGGTTGATGCCGGGCTATTGAGTATTATCCTTGTTAAGAATTCATAAAGAATGTGAATAGACCCTTATCACCAGCGCTTTAGGTTATAAGAATCTTATTCCCAATGTAAAGATTACAATATTTCTAATGTGAACACAGTAATAGATGCTTTATCCAAGCCGCTGACATGCATCAGACATAATGAACTTGAAAGGATCATATTATATGCTTAGAGTTTATAGGCTTCAATTTGTGTATGATTTTTAACAAAATCATTCAGGAACTGCAAAGGCTTCAAAATATGTATTGAAATATAGACATTACTATCATGTATTGTTGCAAATACCCATGAAAAAGCATAATCTACCGTAAATCTCCGTGTATAAGGCGCACTTTTTTGCCGCCGAAAAAAAATGAAAGTCGGGGGTGCGTCTTATACACAGGTACAGAATTTTTTTTTTTTTTTTTTTTTTTTAGTTTTTAGTTTTTAGTTTTGATTTATGGCGCTATGCCTGGCAATGTCTCCTAGCTCAGTAATCAGTGTGGTGACTCACCACTCGGAAACTACAACAACACTCAAATTTGTCTGTCAACTTGGTTTGAAAGTAATCTTTCTAATAGATCTCAATATGTAGTTTATAATAATAATTCCTCAATTTTGTTTTCTATAACAAATGGTGTACCACAAGGTTCTATCCTAGGTACTCCATTGTCAGAAATTTAGAGGATGCTATTCATATCATGCATGACTGTTGATGTTTGGCATAGAACACAGTGCTTCTGCTAGGTGATGTGAGGAGGCTGGTGTGGGACACTTGGTATCATGAAGCCTTAGACTGTTGTTACTATTATTTTTGTCAAGTTCACAACTTCAACTGCACCTTGATGTAAAGTGAAGGTCCTTCCCCGCGTGGGTTTTCGGCAACAAAACAACAACAACAAAAAAACAAAAAATGATTTTTTTTTTTTTTTTTTTTTTTTTTTTTTTTTTTTGTTTTTTTTTTGTTGTTTTCCCCCCCCCAAAAAAATAGGGGTGCGCCTTATACACAGGTGCGCCTTATACACGGAGATTTAAGGTAATGTTAATTAATTACCTATACATGTATACTGTTTTAACACTGGCAAAATGTTGCTTAACCCCTGACTATAGGTGGGGTTAAAGGGGGTCTTAGCCCCACCTATAGTCAGGGTTAAGCTTATTCCACTTTAGTTCAGGTAGGCCTGAATAGATAACCACTTCCTACACATGCTAACAGCTAGGGTTTGTTCATGAAAGCAATTCCAATCAAATAACTTATTTGTATTTTGTGTACTTCACGAGCGCAATAACATGATTCAAGTATAAACAAAAGCAGTGTATTATATACTGACAAGTTTCTGTTTCAGGATATCATAATGAAAGAAAACAAAACCCCTGGTTTCAAACTTTCTTGCCATAAATAAATCATAAGAGATAAAAACTACCAGTAAATGGTTTGACTGGCAGCCTTAATAGCACTCAGCATTTAAACTCAGGCTTCTGGCTAATTAGATCTATTTTCAAAACTAATTTGTGAGCATGGACCTACTAGCTACCATCGTGTGAGAGCTGCAAAGTTTGATAAACATAATCCTCTAATGATTGAGACAATGTCTTCATGGACAAAGCACACAAGAGTGCTAAAATAATTCTAATTGATATAATGGGTTTGAGAATGTAGCCAATGAGCGTCAAAATGGATCATGTGTGCGAGCATTAATTGTTACCATATGATTTCTCGACTATATTACTCATATTGTAAACCCATCTTATAAAACAAATAATATTTTTATCCCGTGCATTGGTGATATGCACTGCAGTTGGTTACCATATAAGTCAGAATGAGATGGACAATGAACTCGATAAGTCTTGTTCATTATCTTACTATGACTTAACATGCGTGCATCGTATATTCACTAATTCACTCGCAAACATATATTATTTGTATATCATCAATCAAAGAACAACATTAAGAACAACAATGATCAAACAAGCAACCACTATACAGTGTAGATACAACCAAATATCACAACCATATGATTGAATTACAGCTCTAGCTGGTCACAAACCTGTTTTCCTTTTCAACAATGCAATCTTGTTTCAAAGCACTTTTCATAATTGCTTGCATGGTATAAAACTATCAATGATCGTATGCCTATCCAGATAACTACAACCTTACAAGAACACTGTACCGGTATATAATACTTTTAGCTGAAATAATGACCTTGATCTGAGATGTATGATGTTCTTGAGCTGTCAGAGGGACATAAAACTGGGCAATATTCGGTGATGAAGTGCTGACAGCGAAACACAAATAAACAATATAGAGCAGGAATGTGCCCCCAAAATTTAGAAGTTAGAGCAATGTTCCAGCCAGCCTCATGGTCCCCTAGTTGCTTTGCTTTCACTTCACTTCAGCTAGTAATTTTGTCCATATTTATAAAAAAGTAAAGAAACTATTTCTATTGGTTTTTGTATTTTTCTCGAACCCCAGAATAATTTCCTTTTCCTCTGCAATGAAAATATAAACTATTACAGAAATTACAATTATTCTCTTTCATATTGCAATGCTTCCAACTCTGTGAGAAGGATATGTCTATATGACCTCCAAAGGCCTGTTTTGGAATTCTCTTTTTAATTTATATATATGCCTGTGTATCAGGATATTTTTTGACAAATAGCTGTGAATCTCCAAACATAATTAAGGTACAAGTAAAGTGGCCAATACCTTCCTCAAAGTTACTCTCTCTCTCTCTCTCTCTCTTCCTGGTATTGAATCACTTATTCAGTAGAATAATGATATCCTGCATTTGGGAAATACCATTCTCATTACTGAGAATACCTCAGGAAATAAAGGTGTTGCTGCTGTTGTTTTGTATTTCTTAATTCCACAAAGGAAGATTATTGAATTGAAGGTATTGATAATTGATATGAATGCAATTTTACATTATAAAGGGTCACATTCTGAAAGAAAGGGTCACAATCTCACAGGCATAGGAATAAACCCTGACATTTAGGTGGGAGACTAGGAGCTATCATGCTTATGATCATATAGCCAAAATAACCATGCTAATATGACATCTGGAGGATTACAAATGCAGGATATTTGCATGAACATCATTTTTTCAAACTTAATTTAGATTTAGCAAAGTGATTTCAACTTTGCTTTCTAAATTTCCAAAGTAGTTTGGTAAATTTGATATCTTATTCAAGAGGTGTAAATCTTTTGGATGTACCAAAAGTGTATGTTTTACCAATAGTAGCAATTTAAAAGGAACTGTACATGTACTATTAGTACTTTCACATTTTTCTTCATTATGACATCACAAGTCACAACAATTCTAATAGGGAAAGAGTATACTGTTATATTATAGTGAATGGGGGTTCAATCCAAGTTACGGCCCTTCTATATTTACATTGTAGCCATTGGCATTAAGGGTGAAAGCATGATGACAGGTTTATAATAATTTATGACCTGAATAGTGTAAACTCCCTCCTAGGCAACCATCTACACTGTACATCTACACAACGTGAAACGATTTTATTTTTTTATGCAACGGGATGAACTAATCAGGTTTATTCTTCACAGACTCATAATATCTGTTCAAAATATGACATTCACATAAAAAAATGATATTCTAAAAAATATGATATTCCTAAAATGAACTACACACTGTAGGGTACATGAATGCAATTGTTTGTATCTTTTTAATTATCTGTAAAACATTGTCAACAATTTAGCCATCCAGCTGTGAAGATTTGTTTTTCTTAAAAAATATTCATTTTGAAACAAGAATCTCGACATATTTTAAAGGGTGAATGGAGGTCAAGAGCAAAGGGTCATGACCTGACCTGCTTCTCATGCAGACCGGTCAATACACTGTCCAGATGCTATCAAGACTCCTGGAAGTAAACAGCTGCTATTTTGGGCTTCAGCTAGGCAAACCAATATGCTTGTCCTCATCAGCTCGAGATTACCAAATATCCCGCTATTTCTGATTTGGGAAATAATCCCGAAGTTACAAATCGCATCTTCATCAGCTCGAGATTCAACCTCGAAACTTGAAGCTCGACCTTGAGAAATTAGCTCAAGATATTTGCTAAGCATTCGCGCATAGTGCGAATCTTCAGTCTGGTGCAGACGCACAAGACAAATAGCTGGATACACTATGAACATGACAGTCAAAGAAAGCGGACAAAATATACAGTTCGTCAGGTAGATAAAGGAACATCCCTTCACTGCTATTATGTAAACAGGTGAATATGCATGTGACACATGTTCTACACATTTTTTTCATAATAGCAGTGAAGGGATGTTCCTTTGTCTACCTGAGGAACTGTATATTTTTTCCGTTTTCTTTGTCAGTCATATTCATAGTGATATTTTGCAAACTATCCGAAGATATCTTGGAATGGTTATCCCGACCAAATATCCTGCTAATTGGAACTTCAGGCTGATGAAGGCGCAAACTAACTGGATAATTTGCGATCGGGATAGTTGAAGTAGCTGGATATTTGGCAATCTTGAGCTGATGAAGACAGGCCTAATGAGTAACTCCTTGGACAAACAGAGTCTGTAAGAATAGCTCTATCTTTTTTCATAATTTATGGAACTCTACACTGTACTTGTGAGTCCCCTGGGTAAACTGTCACGTGAGCTTATCATAAAACGATTGATATATTCCACAAATGTAATCATCAAGTAATAATTGGTTTCTTCTTTCACCAGGAGTAATACCGGTGATCTAAAAGCAGATATTTGAGAATTCAATGAAAAGACAAAGTCACATGACCCTCAATTCCCCTTCGATGGTATGATTGGATAACAACATCACCTAACGGGATCCTTCCATCAATTCAAGTGAAAGTTGTTTTGTTCATCCTTGTGACCTCATCACAAACAAATTCCAAGAAGACAAACAAATCAAAAGGTTCAGGGATCTTCAGGCCTACCTCAATACAGGGTTCACTGACATCACAAATATGTTTACCAAAAAAAATATATTGTATTGAATTATTTTTGCACATTAATATGGTTTGACTTTGCACCTTATCTATTTTGGATATTAATTTGGTTTGACACTTATTTATGAGTAGATATCTAATGTAGAATAGTTGTATGATTTGCACACTTATTCAAAAAAATAACGCAGGTCTCAATATTAATAACCATTTGTTTCACATAACTTTCATTCTTACATAATAATAATAATAATAATAATAATATTAAACTTTTATATAACGCTTAATACAATGTCTATAAGTGCTTTACAAATATACTATAACCCCGGTCATTGGATTCAGTGCTTGCCCTAGTAAAATATCATCTAATTTGAAATCATATCCATCAGAAGTTTCTTGGTGTTGTAACTAATTCCTTTCAAATGTCATCAGGAAGAAAGGAAACCACTCTAATATGTTTACATATAATAATATTTTCTTGTTCTAGAAGTTTAAGAGCATTGCTAAAATGTTTTATGAATGAGCAGGTGGTATAGGTCACCGAAGGTTGATCCTCAGTACTCCAAGTTAGTCCACATACACATAGGCCTACTGGTAAGCCAAATGTTTTATGGCTACATCTAGCATATATATTTAAAATTAAATCATGGTGTTTATTTATTGATAAATGTTTTTAATCATGAATACCCCATTCATCCAAATCTTACCTGACATCTTATAAGGCTTACTCCTCTCCACCTTCACTCGTAAAGGCTGTCTGCAAACATAAACCTAAACACGCACCAAAGAATTAAACAAGAAATAGAACAATGTATGTTACAAGAAATTCTAAAAATAAATTCAAAATTGAACAATTTCAACAAATATCACAGAACAAAAATATCAATTTTTGTTTAAGTATGCGAAATCAAATTTCTGGAAATTCTGGACAAATTGAAAGCTTTCTTCTAACTGATTTGCTTTGGCTTTGACTAATTTGCTTTGGTACATGTAGTAAGTTATGTACTACATATATGCACTTATGCAGTCAGTCACTAGGTCAATTGAAATATTTATTACCAAATACAACTCTTTTTTGATAAATATACATAGGAATGTGGATCATATTTTTTGCATGTATGCATTCACAGGTCAGGTACCCCTAACCTCATTTATCAATTTCAAAGCAAATCAACACAAAGCTATTAAACAACAAAGAATATGGATGACTAAGAACAACGTCAAAAACTACAATGTTAATACAGTATGCACTTGATCTAGTATTAACTCAGACTCAGAGGTAAACAATAACTACTGTTGAATTGTTCCAGTTTACCACAAAAATTCCTTGATTTAAGATTTCTTTTCTAACCCTGTACAATGTACACCCTCCTGCAAACATGTCCATAAAAAGCTTGGGGAAAAATATAAATACTGGTACAATATTATTCAACTTCAAAAGAGGCAAAAAGCTGATATAGAGTTACTGGGAATGTGTGAATAGAGTGGTATTATCAGTAAAAGAAATAATTGTCTTCTTCTTCAGTCTTTTTTAATGTGACATTCCAAGGCAATGCAATTGTGAATATTAGTAGGAACTTAGCAGTGATTTTGAAACAGTACAATTTATGAAATATATAAAAAGACAAATTAAAGATTTTCATTTAAATTATTAATTGAGATCACTTTTCAAACGAACGACCATTGGGTAAAAGGGTCTGAAAATCAGACTATTACTAAAATGATTGCAATCTCTAAAGTCAATTTGACAACTAATGCTCGTTTTTTCCCACTAAAAGACCCTTTCAAGCCCTTTTGTTTTGAAGGAAGTTCTAAATTAGAATTATCTTTCAAATGCTGTCAGAATTTAACCTTTTCACTTTTTTTGGCCTGCAAATGGGACATACACTGTACTACCTTTAAAGGGAATCTATAACATTATTCAGATGAGAGATAAATGCTGCTAAGTTAGTGAGGTCAATGCTAGATGTACAATTTACAAAAATCTTCAAAAAAAAATTTCAGTCTTGAAATAAAAAAGTAAAGGATGTAAGTAATTTACCTTCTAATAAAGGATCTCTTGAGATCTCTATCATTTTATTAATCTTCAACAAAATGACAGTTTATTCGACGAATCGTGTTCAAATCCAGATCGTATTAAACTAATACATACTGTATCCTACATCTGTAAGTACCAGTCTGTATCTCATGTACATGGTTATATGCCTACAGTTCAAAGTGATGGGAATGATACATTGTACGATGCCAGGGATAATGTCCTTCACAACCAATGACCAAATACTCAAACACCATTAAACTGATAATCCACATTACCATCAATTAAACTGATAATCCACATTACCATCAATTAAACTGATAATCCACATTACCATCAATTAAACTGTTAACGAAAACCAATTGAATGATGGAATGACCAACATTGAATCAACCAACAAACCATTGATTAATCAGATACATCGTTGATCACTAACATACAACTACAAGCTTGTTGTGTACATAATGCAAGCTGCAAAAGAGAAAACATCAAAAACAATAAGTCATTCATTCCCAGCAGGCCAGCACATATTGATACTTAAGACAGCATTGAAATATCAAGAAAGATAAAACTAGGTTGAGACTTGGTGATCAACACTTACGTTTTCCATCATGATGCTAATATGATCAGGTTTCCTTAGAAATACTATAGCTGCTTTCTTATCGGTGTTTCTCTAGTGACTGCTTTCACCGTAACTAAACCAACGGAGTGAATCACCCTCAGCCAAGCATTTTACGACCATCGTATATCACTTGTGAGTTCCGCCTTCTTGCACAAGGACCATACAGGAAGACATTACAAATATCACCAGCCAAACAGAAAAGAAAACCTCACCAGTCTGATTTTTCCTTCTTCCTCTCTTCAGTGTTATTTTCTTTTCACACAGTTTTGAGAAAAATTGAATAGATCTTTCTTTCAAACTTCTTGAATCACTCTCAGGAACTGGTGAGTTCACACTTCTCCTTTTCCAGCTCTTATCCTATCAACTTCATTATAACTTGCAATTTTTTTTTTAAAGATTGGTCAGCTCAGTCAGCTCTTTTCTTCCATCATCCCCACCCCTTCCTTCATCTCAACCCATCATCCCCCTCTCCCCTCCCTTTTCAATCCCCTTCTCTCATCTCCACCCATAATCCCCCTCTCTCCCCTCCTTTACCCCCTTCTCCATTTTTCTATCCCTCTTCCATGCACCCCACCACCAACCCATTGAATCCCATCCCCAACTCTCCTCCCTCCTTCCCTCTATCATTCTTCTCCCCTGCCTCCCCTCCCTCCATCTTTCCTCTCCCCTGCCTCCCCTCCCCTCTCCTCCCTACTCCCTCCCATTAAACATCAATTATCAGAGTGATTTCACTCACCTTCTTCTGAAGAACTCAGTGGTAACCAGCAAGAACGCTCAGGCCAAGCTAAGCTATCCCCTTCTCTCTGTCCTTCTCCAGCTCTCTGTCCTTCAACTCAGTTCAAAACACCAACTGTTCAGCATATTCTGCCAGGCCAGTTCTTCTAAAATCCAACAATTTATGAGGTCAGGGCAACGTTCCCTCCAATGGTCTCTACCAAATATTACATTGCTAGCTCTGCAACTATTTTCCTTTCTCCAGCAAACCACACAGGCATCAGAAATGAGAAAGCGTAGGGCTGTGATCTTCTACAGAAAAGCAAATATCCCTTCTTTTATTTAAATCTCTCAATATGATGTAAGCACCTTTCTAGGATTGTCCAATTCACGTCTACACCACATCCCATTCAATTCAAGCCCTTCTTTACATGTATGCGGATCCTACTACAGCTCCCACTCTCAGACCGCACTGAATTTATGCGCTTGTCTGTGTTTGGTTGGCTAGCTGAAGACGATTTGTTTGTTGATGGTTGCCTCAACATTCATCACTGTTCCATTATGCCATTAAGGTTTTAAGTAGCTTGCATGCATCTCCTATGTGTTCATCATGATTTAAGGAGAACTTGTGGCATGTCAGGACATTCCTTCTTTATGTCCACTTTCTGGAACCTGAAAAGAGATAGACAGAGAGAGAGAGAGAGAGAGAGAGAGAGAGAGCGAGAGAGAGAGGGAGAGAGAGCGAGAGAGCGAGAGAGAGAGAGAGAGAGAGAGAGAGAGAGAGAGATTCAATGATTTCTACACTGTATTTCTTTTGATCAATAATGTAGCTCCTGATTAAATCACAAATATCTTTAGATGAATCAATTCCTTTAAAAGAAATGGAAAGTGTCAACATCCGAGACATTTCATATGACAATTTTTCATGTAAATTGACAGCATTTACTTACAGTTTAAAAAAAAAAAAATTATTGGTCACTACAATCATATGAGGATCCGATTATAAACACCTTTTTTGCATATTTCATTAAATGAATAATTAAAAAACATGATAAAAATTAAACAAAATCTATTAACAACATACATGTTTTTTAATCTACTTCATATGGTTCAACTTTAAAATGGTTACAAAACAATGGTTTGAAAGCATATTGCAATACATTTTTATTGGAAATGTGTAGCAAAAACATGTTCCATTGGTTCCCCACTGGCTTTGCAATAACATGAAAAGAAATGATATGTACACTATAAATATCCATAGTGATACAAAATTGAACATACCTCTGTAACAAACATTCAGACTAGAAATCTACCATCAAATCCAGTTCACTGATCTATCTATCATTCACATACCACTAATGAATATGTGTAGCCCTAGTACTCAAGACACAATATAAGTAAGAATCCAGATGTAGAGACATCTAGCACAAGACAGAAAGAGATAGATATCTCACCACACAGCAGCATTCATTCATTCTTCTCATTATTCATTGCTTTAATGACGGCAAACCGCTCCATCTACTTTGATGATTAATCCAGTCAATTTGCTAAAGCTCTTCATACATTTGGAAAGGCAAATAGGTGACATAACATGTCCACCTTGATTGTGTTATAAGCAAGTTATATACAGAGGGAAGTGTTCAGACTTTTATTTAGCTTTGTGATAAGGACTGAACTGTGTAAACACACCCATATTGCTCATACAGAAGATGTATTCACACTGTCCCTTGTATAGGCGACAAGTCCTTGTAAAATGGCCAGAATCCCTTTTTAGTAGCTAGCAGGGCTGATGATGATGATTTCATAGATAAAATATATTACAAAGAAGACTTTAAAGTTTGTTCACAATTTTACACTAATGTGTATACCATCTATCTGCATTATCATCTAATACTGCAGCTACATGTACCTGTATTCTGAATTCTATTTATATTCTTTCACTATATTTTTACAAGATAAAAACATATAATGCTCCTAAAAGTTAGTTTAATAGATCTTGATACTTTTGATAGATAAGAAAATGAAGTTCTTTTTTAGTTTTCTAAAATTGTATCACCAAGTGATATCTATCAAAATCAGTCTGATAAAGAATTAAATGCTGACACAAGTAACAATGTATTTTGACTTGCAGGTTTACATGAACAGACCCATACAGTTTCATCATTTACACTATTGAGTCACAAAAACACTCCAAACCGTATAAAATGAAACTAGCGAGATAGGGTGTAAACAGGAATTGAATTGGGTCAATTTCCTGTACTTTCCTTTTCAAAGGTCTACTACAATGCTTATCCATCAATTCTGAAAGTGATAATCATTCATTTCATACCCTCCAAGTGAAGCAAATCATTACACTCAAATCTAAACAAGTAAGAAGTGTTTTGTTCAATGTGAAGTGGCTTGTGATGAGAACAGGAAGAAAAAATGAAGAAAAAACAAATTATATGGAGAGGCTTTATAGAGAAAAAACCAATTATATGAAGAGGATTTATAGAAAAGACAAAGAAAATTATATGAAGAAGATTTATGGAGAAGAAAAAACTATTAAAATTGTTCAATTAGAGATAAGATACTACATACTTCACATAGATAAGATACTACTTAAGAACAGTAGATAATTGCAGAATTTGGAGTACCGATATTAGTTAATCCAATGACTGAAATCTACAGAATCATCAAATGGTAATTAAAACAAATTCCTGCAATGCCTGCTCTTGTCAGACATACAAAATATTTTTGAGCAGACAATTTATCCTTATTATCAAGTACATAAGATGTAAATAATTTCTCTCTTTTCAACAAAGTAAAACCTTGGTCTTCTGTCGCTGAACCCGGATTCACCTTCAGGTAGACAATAAAAAAAGCAAAGAAAGAACAAGAAACCGCATCATAGGACAAAATATATTATCATCATCATGCCCATGTAATGAATCATGATCTAAGCTTTGTTTTTTTCCAAAGGAGATGGCTGAATGCGATGGGTTTGTAACCCTTGGGTCGGGTCAGGAAATTAAAACTGTTTAGTCACATAGATGAATTGACATCAACTTATCTTCCATCCATAACACTGTATCTATTTTGATAACCAAGCAGTTTTTTCTTATGACTTGCAGATCAACAGAAATGTATGGTGGCCCTGAAGGGACATCGCGAATAGACTAAATCGTGAAAAATATGCGATAAAATTCACGATATCGTCAATTTTATCGCATATTTTTCACGAAGAAATTCACGAAATTGACGATATCGTGAACTTTATCGTGAACTTTTCACGATGAAATTGACGATATCGTGAATTTTATCGTGAAAAGTTCACGATATCGTCAATTTTATCGTGTACTCTATCGTGTACTCTCCTGACGGGCGCTTCGTAAACAAAACCAGCCCTAGCTGGGGGAGACAGAGAGAAGGAAAAAAGGGAAAGGGAAAGAGAAGATAAAAGGAAAGAAAGAATAATAAGAAGAAAAGAGGGAAACGGGGGGGGGGGGACGAAGGGCTCTTGCCTCCTCCTCACTCCCCCCCCCCCCCCACCCGCCAAAAAATAAATAAGGAGAGAGAGAAGGGAAAGGGAAAGGGAAAGAAAATATAAAAGGAAAGAAAGAAGAGGAAGAAGGAAAGAGGGAAACGGGGGAAGGGCGAAAGGCTCTTACCCCCCCCCCCCCGCCAAAAAAATAAATAAGAGAGAGAGAGAGAGAGAGAAGGGAAAGGGAAAGAAAGAAGAGGAATAAGAGGGAAACAGGGGAAGGGCGAAGGGCTCTTGCCTCCTCCCCCCCCCCTACCAAAAATAAATAAGAGAGAGAAGGGAAAGGGAAAGAAAATATAAAAGGAAAGAAAGAAGAGGAATAAGAAGGAAAGAAAGAAGAGGAATAAGAAGGAAAGAGGGAAACGGGGGAAGGGCGAAGGGCTCTTGCCTCCTCCCTCCCCACCCCCCGCCAAAAAAATAAATAAGAGATAGAGAGAGAAGGGAAAGGGAAAGGGAAAGAGAAGATAAAAGGAAAGAAAGAAGAGGAAGAAGAAGAAGAAAAGAGGGAAACGGGGGCGAAGGGCTCTTGCATCCCCCGCCCCAAAAAATAAATAAGAGAGAGAGAGAGAGAGAGAAGGGAAAGGGAAAGAGAATAAAAAAGGAAAGGAAGAAGAATAAGAAAAAAAAGAGGGGCTCTTGCCTCCTCCCCCCCCCCCCCCCCTCCCGCGCCAACAAATAAATAGGAGAGAGAGAGAGAGAGATAGAGAGAAGGGAAAGGGAAAGGGAAAGAAAATATAAAAGGAAAGAAAGAAGAAGAAGACGGAAAGAGGGAAACGGGGGAAGGGCGAAAGGCTCTTACCTCCCCCTCCCCCTCCCGCCATAAAGGGAAAGAGAAGGGAGAGGGAAAGAAAATATAAAAGGAAAGAAAGAAGAGGAAAAAGAATAAGAAAAGAGGGAAACAGGGGCGAAGGGCTCTTGCCTCCTTTCTTTTCTTTCTTTTCCTTTCTTTCCTATTCTCCCTTTTTTTTTCGTTTTTCTCTTTCTTTCTTCTCTTTCCCTTTCCTTCTCTCTCTCTCTTATTTATTTTTTGGCGGGGGCGGGGGGACGAGGCAAAAGCCCTTTGCCCCCGTTTCCCTCTTTTCTTCTTCTTCCTCTTCTTTCTTTCCTTTTATCTTCTCTTTCCCTTTCCCTTTCCCTTCTCTCTCTCTCTCTGATTTATTTTTTGGCGGGGGGGGGGGGGGGCAAGAGTCCTTCGCCCTTCCCCCGTTTTCCTCTTTTCTTCTTCTTCCTCTTCTTTCTTTCCTTTTATCTTCTCTTTCCCTTTCCCTTTCCCTTCTCTCTCTCTCTCTGATTTATTTTTTGGCGGGGAGGGGGGGGGGGAGTGAGGAGGAGGCAAGAGCCCTTCGCCCCCCCCCCCCCCCCCCCCGTTTCCCTCTTTTCTTCTTATTATTCTTTCTTTCCTTTTATCTTCTCTTTCCCTTTCCCTTTTTTCCTTCTTTCTGTCTCCCCCAGCTAGGGCTGGTTTTGTTTACGAAGCGCCCGTCAGGAGAGTACACGATAGAGTACACGATAGAGTACACGATAAAATTGACGATATCGTGAACTTTATATCGTGAACTTTTCACGATAAAATTCACGATATCGTCAATTTCATCGTGAAAAGTTCACGATAAAGTTCACGAAATCGTCAATTTCGTGAATTTCTTCGTGAAAAATATGCGATAAAATTGACGATATCGTGAATTTTATCGCATATTTTTCACGATTTAGTCTATTCGCGATGTCCCTTCAGGGCCACCATAGAAATGTACTCAATTAGTTGAAATGTAAATTGGTAACATATAACTGATGTCAGTCACACTCATATACATGTAGTACATTTACCTATATTCAGGCAGACAGGCAGGTATATTTAGTAACAAAAACAGTTTTTTTGTTTAAAGTGAAGACGAAAACATATGTAACTTTACAACAAGCCTTGTCCGCATTTCTCTAAAACAACAGAGAAATAGAAAGGAAAAAGATGTCAAGAGACGCTTGTTGGTAATTAAACAACAAAAGGGATCTATAACGGCCCGGCAATTACTTTATGAGGAAACTAAAATTCTTCCTTGGTAAAATAAAATACTTCTTTATCAGCCTACACATCTTCCATATCTGTTAAACTCATTGACAAGAGTCCCCAGTTTCCGTTTCTTTCTTTTTGCCG